ATTCTGTTCTATTCTGTTCTATTCTGCACTATTCTATTCTATTCACTTCTACTCTCTTCTATTCTTTTCGCGTCTCTTCTAATATAAATACTTGGGTAAATACATATTGTCTGGGAGAGGCTGATGGAACCAGGAAAAACCTTGTGATAACTTCTCTCCTGCATCTCAGGTGCATTGGACCAGGGAGAAAAACTACATGTTCAAGCTCTCCAAGTTCCAGGAGCTGTTGCAACGATGGCTGCACGAGAATAAGGACGCCATCAGTCCCGAGCCCTACTACCAGCAAGTCCTCCAATGGCTGGAAGGGGATCTCCCGGATCTCTCTGTATCCCGTGACCGAGACCGGCTGCATTGGGGCATCCCTGTCCCTGGGGATTCGACCCAAACCATCTACGTCTGGGTGGATGCCCTGGTCAACTACTTGACAGTTGTAGGTTACCCCGAGAAGCATGGGACCTGGTGGCCCACTGTTTGCCACATTGTGGGCAAAGACATTCTCAAGTTCCATGCCATCTATTGGCCTGCTTTGCTGATGGCTGCCGGCCTGGAGCCCCCCTTGAGGATTTGGGTCCATTCTCATTGGACGGTGCAAGGACAGAAGATGTCCAAGAGCCTGGGAAATGTGGTTGACCCTAAGGAGTGCTTCCGGAACTACACGGTGGATGGTTTTCGGTACTTCCTGCTGAGGCAGGGTGTCCCGGAACGGGATTGCGATTATTATGACGAGAAGGTGATTAAGCTTCTCAACTCGGAGCTGGCCGACGCCTTAGGGGGCCTCCTAAACCGGTGCACGGCTTCTGCCCTGAATCCCGGAGGGACTTACCCCACCTTCTCTGAGACCTGCTTCCCAAGGGACGTGGAGATTCAAAACGGATCTGGCAAGGCCTTAGCGGAGGACTACGAGCTGGTGTCATTGGTCGAGAGCCTGCCTATGAAAGTGAGCGCCTCTTTTGACCGCTTCCAGATCTACAAGGCTCTGGAATCCGTCATAGAGTGCGTGAGGCAGACCAATGGCTTCGTCCAGAGGCACAGGCCGTGGAAGCTGCACCCAGAGAACCCCGCAGAGCGACAGTGGCTGGAGACCATTCTCCACGTGGCTCTGGAATGTCTTCGGGTGTATGGGCTTCTCCTGCAACCGGTAATCCCAGCCATGGCTGACAAGCTTCTCTCGCGGTTGGGCGTTTCTTCTACAGAAAGATCTCTGAAAGACTTGGAGTTTTTCCCTCGCTTTCATGGCAGAAGGTGCCCATTTGAAGGCCGGAAGCTCGGGCCGGATACTGGCCTCCTGTTTCCCAGGCTGAGAAAAATATGAAGCCAGCAAATAGAATAGAATACTTCATCGGACAGGAAAGGAATTTGTCTCCTGTGCAAATTTTTAGGGTTTTTTTTTTTAAAGAGAAGAACTCAGACTTTTGAGAAGGTGCAGTCAGGGTGAACTAAAATAAAGTGGGGGGAAAGGCTTTATAAGATATGCAGCTAACTCAGATTTCAGAGTTGTTATTTTTAGCTTTATGCGGACTCCTTGTGGAGTTACATTTTTTAATCTTCCGGTGCAGGGGTATCAAACTTTCATTGAGGGCCGTGCAGGGTTGTGTTTGATCTTGGAAGGCCGGAGGGGTGTGTGTTGGGCGTGTTGGAGAAGGGGGTGTGGGCATGTGTGGGGATGGCCATGTGGGCGTGGCATGGGACTTGTGTTAGGGGCACCNCACCGTGTCCCTCTAAATCAGTGGTAGTCAACCTGGTCCCTACCGCCCACTAGTGGGCGTTCCAGCTTTCATGGTGGTCGGTAGGGGTTTGCTGTAACTCTGCTTTAAAAATTTTATAAAGTAAAGTTACTTCCCTACTTTATAAATCACCATTACTGTGGAACCGGTGGGCGGTTAGAAAATGTTACTACTAACAGAGATACAAAAGTGGGCGGTAGGTATAAAAAGGTTGACTAACCCTGCTCTAAATCATCATGCTAAAGAATTCCAATTAAGAGTAAATCGAACCCATTCATGCCTTCCTTCCTCAAACCCAATGGCTTCCATGCATCCACCCAAGGCCCCCTCCCAGAACATAAAGAGTTGCGCCAGCTGACCTTCCGAGCGATTGGCATCCGGTTGAAGATGTTCCACAGAACGATTCCTACCACCACTTTATCCTGGAGGTAGAAAATGACTCCTTTCCCGTAATCCTCTCCCTGCTGTGGGACTTGCGGAGTGGAAAGAGAGGCTGCGGAGACCTTCAGCTCTGTGGCTTCCAGTTCGGTTTCACTCTCTGAGCGGATTCCAGTTCCTAGAGATGAATGGCCAGTCAGACACAAACTGGATCAATAATTCACACCCCACCCCACCCCGATGTTGGGTCCCTTCAGACCGGGGAGACGCAGAGGTGGAATTCTACCGGTTCGGACCGGTTTGCCAAGGCGGTAGCAGAAATCACGGGTGGCCCCGCCCACCCGCCCCACCTCTACGGCATCCCATTTAGGCCCCTTTTTTGCAAAAAGCGCATGTCCAGAAGGCTATGCGCTTGCGCGAAGGTGGCACATGCAAGTGAAGCGAGCGCATGCATGCTCACATTTGCGAACCGGTTGGGATGGTAAGTGAGCACCACCCCTGGATGGGCGCTTTCATTTCCGTTGGGTAGAAATGAGTACCTTGATCAGCCCTAGAGATAAAGAGGCTACTTCCTCATAGTATGCTACGCCCTAAACCACGTTACACTGACACACATTGGACACTGACAGCGCGTCCAGAGGACAGCACTGAAGCCTGTTAAGGGCCTTGGAAGGAATACCTATTGAGAATGGTTCAGCTATTTGGATATACCGTATTTTTCGGAATATAAGACGCACCCTTTTCCCTCCAAAGAGGCTGAAAATCTGGGTGCATCTTACACCCTAAATACAGCATTTTTTGCCTCCTAGAACCCTGCGCCCTTCACCAAAAGGGCCGTGCAAAGCCTTATGGAGGCTTTTAGGGAGTTTCTGCGAGCTGGGGAGGGAAGAAATGAGCAAAAAACGGGCCATTTTTTGCTCAATTTTGCCTCCCCCCCAGCCCCCAGGAGCACTCTATAAGCCTCCATAAAGCTATGCATTCCCTTTTTTGGGGGGTGAAAAACAGGCTTGGTTTTGCAAAAAAAGGGCTGTTTTTTGCTTGTCCCCCCCCCCCAGGGCACTCTACAATCTTCCTAAGGGCTATTCATGCTCTTTTGGGGGGGGGGGGGAATGGGCCCGTTTTTGTGAAAAACGGGCCTGTTTTGGGAGGTTTGCAAAGTGGGAAAAACTTTTTTTTTTAAATTTGCCTCTTCAAAACCTTGGTGTGTCGTATACTTTGAAAAATACGGTACTCCATCTGGAGAGGCGAAAACCAGGGTGACAGCCACGTTTGAAACACATAAAGGTCAAATAAGAAATCATGTGTGTAGGAGGACGAATGGCAGAACCTGAGGGTAGAATTAAAAAAAAGGGCTCAGCCTAGAAGGCAAACCTTTTCGGCACCGAGCGTGCGTGTGCATTCCTCTAGGATGCAACCAGGAAGAGGAGCTGCTCAGGAGGTGGTACCCTCTCTGCTGGGGGTGTTTCAACAGAAGTTGGATGCCCACCTGCCAACAATGCACTGGCAGGAGAGAGTGAACCAGGTGACCAATGGGGTCACTCCCAAATCCTTACATTCTAGGATTTGGGATTTGTGGATTCATGCAAGAAGGTATGGCCTACCCAGGTAGCCTGGTTCACACAGTGCAAAACAACACCTGAAACATAATTCAAAGTCCTAACCTGATTCCTCCGTGGCAGATTTTGGGGTGTCCTTTGCTGTCGCTTTAGCAAATACGCCCACGGTGGGCAAACTGCTGTCCACAAGGCCAATAGCTTCGTATCCAACATCTGGGCCAAGGTCGCTCCTAAAATGAAGAGAACATACGATGTCAGGATTAGCTTAGAAAAGAGTGATGAAATACTGGGAATTTTGCTATTGACACAAAGAGAGTTCTCTCCTTTTTGAACCTTTGGAACTTAAAATGAACATATGCTGGAGCACCATTCTTTTTTGGTGCCACGAAAAAAAGAATCCTCCCACAGAGACAAATGACGCTCAAAATATTGGTGTTTTACTGACAGCCTACAGAAAGGCATTGGGGACCAAAGTCCAGATCACTGAAAAGTGAGTTGTTCCTTTTAAGTATATGTAAGTTGATTATATATAATTAATATGATTCCTTTGGTATGTTTGGCATTTCTCCTTTCTGTCAGGTCACAAATGACAGCTTGGTGATCACTTTAGGAAGGGTTTGCAAGGACATTCTGAATTAATCACTGCATGCATCCAGATACAGACTGAATTCAACCACTGCATGCCAACAATCATGGACTGAATTCAACCACTGCATGCATCCAGATACAGATTGAATTCAACCACTGCATGCCAACAATCATGGACTGAATTCAACCACTGCGTGCCAACAATCACAGACTGAATTCACCCACTGCATGCATCCTGATACAGACTGAATTCACCCACTGCATGCCAACAATCACAGACTGAATTCACCCACTGCATGCATCCAGATACAGACTGAATTCAACCACTGCATGCCAACAATCATGGACTGAATTCAACCACTGCATGCATCCAGATACAGATTGAATTCAACCACTGCATGCCAACAATCACAGACTGAATTCACCCACTGCATGCATCCAGATACAGACTGAATTCACCCACTGCATGCATCCAGATACAGACTGAATTCAACCACTGCATGCCAACAATCATGGACTGAATTCAACCACTGCATGCATCCAGATAGATTGAATTCAATCACTGCATGCCAACAATCACAGACTGAATTCAACCACTGCATGCCAACAATCACAGACTGAATTCAACCACTGCATGCCAACAATCACAGACTGAATTCACCCATTGCATGCCA